GCATAATATACTGGAGATTGGAGCACATGTGTGTGAACTTCTAGTATATTATGCTGGACCTGTATATTATACTGGAACTCCAGTATATTATGTTGAACGTCCAGTATATTATACTGGAACTCCAGCATATTATACTGGAGTTCCAGTATACTTATACTGGAGTTCCAGTTTATTATATTGGAATTTCAGTATATTATGCATTGGAAATGCTCATTGTGTTTAAACGAGATGAAGATGAATTTCAAATTAGCTGTTATTGTTGTTGTGGGTTTCAAAGAACTTAGTGTTGTTGTTGTGAGGTTTTAAAGTTGTTAGTATTGCTCTGTTGTATTTGTGGCTTTTTTTTTTTGGGCGTAATATACCACTAGGTTGGGGACCTAATTTTATTAATAACAAAAAAATCACAAAAGAAAAGTATAAGTAAAAGTAACAGTGGTGTAGTATCCAATACCTTAGCTTGACTATGCTCTCACCAGTGCAATGATCTCAAAGCCAACTCGGGTAACTCCCTAAGGCAAAGTGGATAAACGACAACTACTGTGCTAGACCTTACCTTACAATTCTTACCGAGGCATGAACAACCTCAATTACTAGCAAGCANCCTATTGGACTGGGTATGTTGTTGTATTGGACCTTTTTGAGGTGGTAGAAGCTGCTACCTTTTGCTTTGCAACTCTAATTGGAAGCTGCCGAAAAGCAACCTCCTCAGTCACCTTACCATCCCAACTATGTTGCCATTCATGTGTCTTCTTTTTATTTTGTTGTATCCTCTTCTTTGCTGCCTAGGTGAGAGACCTCCGTCCCAAGCCACATTAGCAAAACATTCATTCAACACGTCATTCTCTTCCTCCTCATCAAATATGTTAATGCCCATATCACCACCAAAAGCTTCAGTTGGACTAGGTCCTAAAACTAAAGCCCCTAGCTCATGTCTCTTGCCTACTATTCCACTAGGCTTGAAGGTAGTGGCTAAGATCTTCTTGTTGTTATCAAGAGTATTCAATGTGTCCATATCATGAGAGACAAGAGTATGAAGGATGTCTCTATTTGCCAATTTAACTTTTGTAGCACTTAAATTCGGACTCTTCAAAGCATCCAAGAGTGCCCTATCTCGAGTTAAAATTTGCATTGCCTTACATGAAGGCACAAATGCAGGTGCTTGAGGGTTCAACTTGCTCGTAGGAGGAGAAATAATCTGCTCTGCTTCATCAACCAAATCAACCCACCTAGGAGCACTTGTAGCACCTTTTTGCTCCTTAGAAATAATCATATCATTTGTGGAATTAGCTTGAGAGATTGAAGGCATACCTTTATTCACATATTGAATTCCTTGGAGATAATAAGAGCTGCCTGAATTCACTTTGATAATCACCAAACAACTCCAAAGATTGTGAAGGAACATCATGAACCGAGGGGTTCAATGTGACGATAGGTGGCTTGACCTTGGTGTTTATCAACATGGGAGTTTGAGTTTTTTTTTAATAATTTTTACTACTTTAGGATTGAAAATATGCATTATAGGAGCAGCTGCATTACTATCTTTTCCAGCAGTTTTCAGAAGAGAATCAAAGGTATTTAAACAAATAAGGTGCTTTGAGTTTGAGATAGAACCTTGGACGTTCACTACCTGCTTCTGTATTGTCACCCTTGGAGAACCACTTACTATCTTAGCTAAATCTGGATTAGGAATTACCAATGTAGGTGTTTCCAAAGCGTTTTCCTGTCCATCCCTTAGTCCAAAGAACAGAATTAGGACTTAAAATATGCGAAGACAAATATCGAGCACCTGACTTGGCCCACCTTTACTGCACATTGGTGCAATCTACAGCCTTTTTTGCCTGGTACTACAGTTCAGCCTGCACCATTCTTATTCTCCAAACCCAGTCCTTGTAGCAGTAAAAGGATTCCCTAGCATGATCGCAAGCTGCATAGAAGCAACAAGTGCTAGGACTTAATACATCTTTTTCAGTTGCTCCTAGCAAAAGAGCTAGGACTACAGCTTAGCAAAAAAACAAGTGGTAAATAAATTAAAGCATTCAATCATCTAAGAAATTAGTTGGAAATAACCCATTGACCATCACACCTTATCAATCCATATCATGTAACTCTTAGACAACAGATATAAGTCTACAGTATATTGATACTTCTAATATTAACTTATTATAGAATGTTACTTGTCTTATTATTCATATTACTAATTTTACTTATTATGGGTAGTGGCATGTAAACTTTCAAAATTATCTGATAGTATTAAAAAGATTTACACTATCAATATATAAAAGTTAAACTCATAAAGAACAACATTACATATCATGTCACTTTATCAGCCAAATTGCTTTAGCTTAGAAGAAGAAGAAGAAAACAAAAGAAGATTCAGGTCAAACTTTGTTACTTCAACTTGGAAAAGAAAAATACAAAATGTGAGATAGCTTCTTATTTATTTTTCTATATGTTGCTCTTAATTTCCTACTTCTAGGAAATAGTCAGCAACTTGGAAACAAATTCTTCAATATTTCTATCTGAACTTCCCCCTTCATCCACAGCATTTCTAGCCAATTCCTTCCATCTCTTTGCATTTTCCTTAATCATTTTTCCTTTCTCTTCTTCCATCACTATCTTTATACATTCTTCAATAACTTCTCTTCTAACTAATCCTTTTTCATCTTGGTTTGCTCGTACTCCCATCCCCCAAACATCTTCCACAAGCTTTGCATTTGTTGGCTGATCTGACCATTGTGGCATTGCAACCATTGGTACTCCCAAACTAATCGCTTCCAAAGTCGAATTCCAGCCACAATGTGTGAGAAAACACCCTATTGATTTATGTTCCAAGACTTGTAATTGTGGACACCATGACACCACTAAGCCTTTATTCTCACTTGCTAATTTTAATTCCTCTAAAAAATTCTTGGGAAGTTTGGATTCTTCAGTGGATCTAACAACCCACAAGAAGTTCTTGTTGCTATTTTTCAAACCCCATGCTAATTCTTCCATTTGCTCAGGTTCTAGTTTGGTTAAACTTCCAAATGATACATATACCACTGAGCTGATTGGTTGGTGATTTAACCAGTTTAGGCATTCATTTGTCATTGGCTTGAAGATACTAAGGCCATATTCTTTGTCATCTGGTAGCCTCTTGTCTAGGTATATTGATGGTATAGTTGGTCCAATTGTCTTGATTGGATAAACCTTGGACATCCAATCAGTTACCTACATGTCAACAAATTAGAAGAAGGATGAGATTTCATGTAACAATTTAAATATTGTGTATAACTTAGATGGCTAAAAATTTAACTCCAAGTTAATATTGCAGTAGTAATTTTTACCAAGTACTACTTCTGGTCCATATTACCATCTGTGTTTTTAAACATCCCTTAAGAAATACATGTAATAACCTTAGTATAAGATTATATGTCTAAACTGCGCTTTATTTCTTTTAGATATCTCACTTCATTAACACTTCACTAATTGGAGCAATAAGGCTGACTGGTATAGTGAATCAGAGTGTTAATTTTTCTATGCAGCCAATTGGCAAAGTTAACAGAAAAAGAGAAGACAAAAATAGAAGAATATTCTCTTACCTCTTTCTCCAATTCATAGAAGCTGTTGATTAGGACCCAATCTATTTTCTCAAGATTTGAGAATTGATTCACCAGCATTTCAAGTGCTCTTGCTGATTCAGGAGTAGAAACAAAACTAGGTACATCTGAACTCTCAATTGTTACTAATCCAGGAATTGAGATTTCTTCATCAACTTCAGTAGGAGGAAGTTTTAGAACCCCTTTATGTACATGATAATAAATATTATCCACAGCACAAGATTGTGTGAAAAAAGCAGCACTAGCTAATCCATATTTCTTTGCCACTTCTACAGCCCAAGGAAGGAATGGATCATAAACTATGCAATTCACAGCACAACCACGAGTCGTTAACGTTTCAATAAGCTGAGACAGAGTGTCAGAGCCAACTTCCTTGAATCTTGTAATATAGGCCGCGAAGCTTTCTGCTTGGTAGATGCCTCCATCATCATAGCCATCGGAGATGGCCTCGATTGATACAGGAGTTGACAATTCTTGCATGGTTTTCAAGAAGAATTTTGTGGCTGCTATAGTGATTTTGACATTTTTGGATTGTAAACGTTTGGAGAATTGGAGCATAGGGTTGATATGACCTTGGATTGGATATGGCAAGATTAAGCAATGAGCTTTGTGAGACATGTTTTGCAACTTCTCAATTGATATTATGGCCAATTAAGAATGAGAGGATGGAAAAATCCTGTAGTGAAAATGAGGTTCTTATAGTTGGTCAAAAGAGTTTAAAGTGTTCAAATTTTTTTGACATGCATGCCTAAAGAGTCGTTTGGTTGAAAAACAAGTTATCCCATGATTAATTATCTCAAGGTTAGTTATCCCATCCTCCAACAATAATAAAAAAATATTACAATTCCGGAATGACTAATCCCGGGATTAGTTATATCACGATTTTATCCCAACCAAATATAGGATAAACTCGTCTCAAATTTAATCCTGGAATCAATTATCCCTTATCTCTAATACCAAGCGAGCCCTAAGTGAGTGTCTTGGCTTCTTCTTTTGTCCCAATCAATAACGACTTTAAATTGCCAACATATGCAGTGACATAAGTAGGTCATATGCATTGAGTATTTAATAGGAATATGAGTCCTATTTAAGTATTTAATTAGGATTAGGTAATAATGTCAACAAATAACTTTGACCATTTTAAATAACATAAGGTATATTGATTAGTCATATACGCATCTACATTTATGTTACTTGAAAGATACGTTTTCTGTCCATTTTAAATAATCCTTAAAGTTTTGTATGACTACGAATTATAAAAAAAAAAATAAAAAAAAAAAGTGAGTATGAATATGGATATAACTTCTTTAAGATTTAACTTCTTTTACAAGAAAATGAAATAAGTAATTTTTGTCTTTTTAGTCAAAGATATTAAAAATAAGGGAAAATAATTAAATTTGCCTTTGAACTATATATATAACATTATTTGTCGGTTGGTTTAGTTCAATTTTAGACATTTCGGTTCGGTATTTTTGGTATGCAATTTCTTAAAATGTTATATCAATATCATATCTTATTAAATTCGTATGGTTCGATTTTTTTCCTTTCTTTTTCAATTTATTCGGTAAGGTAACTTCAATTTATCTGGTTTGAATAAAAAAAATTATAACTGTTTTTTTAGTCTTTAAGAGGTAAAAGAAAAATCTTGGATATCAAACTAAATCAAAGAAAGTGCCTTTTGGAACTTACAATTTTCTATAGAGTGAGTTAGAGAAAAAGCCAACGCGGTCGTGTATGAACTTTTGAACTAGACTATTATCAGTTCTGAAATAAATATAGGAATCTGGATCACAATCCAATATAAAATTTACAGTTGAACTGAAAGTAATTAACTGAATTGCACAGAAGTGGTGTCATGAGAACGACACTGTTGTAAATGAAATAAAATTGTATGCCTTCTATATTATTTTATAAACTAAAACATGTAAATTGTGTAAATTAATATGTATATCGGTTCGATATCAATATTTCAGTATTTTTTTTAAATATTGAATATTATAGCGAATACTATATTTGTCAAAATTTAAACCAAATATCACACCGAATATCAAAATAACATATACCAAAATTTTTCGTTTCGAGTGGTAATTCGGTATGTACCAAATTATCCACACTCCTATAATATTGTTTAACTATGTCCTCGCTAAAGTTGGCAACAAAAGAGCCGTTTCCAAATATATTACGTCTATCGCTAAAGTTTGATATGACCTACGACTGGATATGGCAAGACAAGATCAAGCAGTGAGTTTTGGCATGAGTAGTGATCTTTTGCAACTTCTAAATTGATGGATGGGAAAATCTATAGTGAAAATGTAGGTTCTTATTGTT